CCATCTTTCAACTATTCTTGCCAAAAGGCTTAATTATTGGGAGGGAGTGAGTCTGTAGGGCCGAGCTTTTTCTTTTTTCTGTTGCCTTTTCCTTTCGCCCTCGCCTCGTCCAAGTCCAGTCATGCTCACAGAACGCCCCAAAACAAAATGGAACTCACCGCAAATATTGACACAGTCACTCGGGGACGCGCCAAATGAACGTCGCACGAGTGGCCGAGGCATTTGTGACTCCAAGTGGAGCACGGCAGAGCATAAGAAGTAGGCTGGCACAAAATATGACGCCGCGGGGACGAGGAGAAAGTAGTACTGCCCTCAGAAAATCACCTTTGACCCCTTCTGCTTTTTTATCCGCTGTGATTCATCCAAACGCGGACATTTTTGTTCTCCCTCATTGCCCCTTTGCAAAGCTTCAGCTATGACCAGCGAAGGTTGACAGCGGAGTTTATGAAAAATCCTTGTTGATGGTAAATTCTACTGGAGCAGGCTCACCACCGCCCACACAGACTTAAAATCATGCATCAACCTAGGAATCAAACAATCACAGGTTAATTTGAATAGCATGCAGGCGAGCAGGTGCCACTATCACGCCGCGTACCGTATTTTACTCCCCCCCCCGCTGTGTGTGGGAAGTAATGTCTGCTCTTGCCACTCCGATTTGCTTCAGTGGAAGTGTCATGGGAAATGGAGAGATACAGATGAGGGAAGAGCTTAGTTTGTATGTGAGTGAGTGAGGGAAAGAGAGAGACAGACAGAGAGAGAGAGAGAGAGAGAGAGAGAGAGAGAGAGGGGAAGGCATTAGTGCGTGGCCAGATATTGAAGATGTTATTAGTATCCCATTTAGAGTGCTTATAAAACTGCCATATTACTGGAAGGTTTTCATCTGCAGTTGACATGCGTCACGCCGTCCCTTTGGTTGCATTTCCAGCAGCCGCTCGGATGATCCCTCGTTGATGGCGCAGTCGTATACCTGCGGTCTCGTATATTCGTCTCATTTAACCTTCCTGCTGTGCCACGGTCAAAATTGACACAATCCACGTCTGTATACTGTAAGAAATGTTTGGGTTTTTTTCTTCTCTTTTTCATCTCATGCCACATGGTCTCCTGCCCAGTTAATATTCAAGGCAATAAGAGGATTCAAGAGGACTTTTTTCAACCAGTTGGCAAAGCATCAATTCTTGCAACACACAGATATGCAAACTTCTCCCTTCATGGGACCGAAAAATTGTAACTCTTTACGGCCGGCTAGAGAAAACATTGCATACAACATGTGGGCTTGCTAGTCTGCTGAGCTATTGCTTACTTCAGCTTTGCTGCGACATACACGTCATCTCCACCTTGCCAACATTTTATTCTACGGAAGGGTTCAAATAACCAAGCATCTGACTGCACCTGTAAATAACGCACTTGATCTCATCGTGAAAATCATTCCTGGTACCACAGGGAAAGGAGCTTGAGAGATCTCTGGGGACGTCCTCGGCCAGGTCGGCGAAGGACGTACGAACCCAGAGTGGCAATTTATTTTCTGTCTTGGGCCACAGAGGCCGGATGTTGTTTTTGTTGTTTCACCAATATTATATCCGGCCAACAACGTCCATGGACTCTCTTACACACGCACGCCTAAAGCCGAAGAGCTGAAGCACATTTCCAACAAGCCCAACGAGATCTTTTTTATGATCACTTACAGAAAATGCACAACATTCATTGAAAACCAATAAAAGCCATTTGATTTTCTTGATCAATTATCACCTTTGATGTGAAGTACCAGAGAAAAGTTGGGACACATTTTCTCATTCGATTCAATGAGAATGTTAGAGGTTCGGTGAAAGTCAGATGGAAAATACAGAATAAGTTCATTTATATTGATATCTGGACATTAGGTTTGGATTTTATTAAATGGATAACACAGAGCAGGATCCAAACCATAACTCAGATAGTTTTGTTTTCAACCATGTTGCAACAAAAAGAAAATTATGAAAGGTTGTCATGGACGCTGTTCAGGGTGCAGAATTCTTCCTTGACATGTTTTATTTGGCTTGATTTCAAGAAAAAGGTATTTTGAAGCATTGTTGGACATGTTATTTCTGACTTAATGACTCTTGCAACAATCTAAATCTTGGTCATCAGTCTCCTACAGTGGGACAGGAGTCTCGTGCAGTGGGAATGGAGTTTCACATAGTGGGACTGGAGTCGTCTGCAGTGGGAATGGAGTTTCATATAGTGGGAGTCTCGTACAGTGGGACTCGAGTCTCGTACAGTGGGACTGAAGTTCCGCACTCGGCTTTGGTGCAGCAATAGTTTTCATCTTTGTTGGTAAAAAGCTTTCAAAAATTCTTTCTTGTTTTCAGGCCAAATAAAACCGAAACTTAATGACTGTTTCCATGGCAATTTTTGGGTGGCAAGTTGTGGGACTCACTGTAAAGTGACTCAAATGTTTCCAAATTACATTTATAGATGTATTCATTGTAACAAATAGCATAACAATTATCAGTACTTTGTCTGGAAGCCAAGTTAATTAAAAAATAGCATCGGTGTTGAGAACTGATTTTCTCCTGAATGGCCAAAACACAGATGCTCCTGAATGGACACTATGAGCAAGTGTTGGTTGCAAGTGATGCGATAATAGACTCAGAGAGTTTGCAACATACCAATGCCCCTGACCACCCTTTGTCCTCTGCACGACAGGGTTAATAAAAAGAGCCTTCTCTTACATTCAACTCATCAGACATCATCGCGGTTTTGCTCATCCCCGCTAAAAGGGGACACGGCCCTGCCGGCTCCATTAGTTCTGACAGCAGCCCGGAGAAATAAAACAAACAAGGTTATTTGATGCGTTTAAAAAAGGGTGGTTCAAGTTTCAAAGAGGTGGTGCTGTTATTCACTGCTCACATTCAGGGTAGAGGCAGGCATCCTGGTACACAAGTCTCCATATGACGTCAGTGTGCCTTTTGCTTCTGTTCTGGCCAAAAGGAGTATACTCTTCTAATGATTTTCATTTCATAAAAGTCAATTTCATGATCACTGGACTTCCTGTTCAGGATATGGGTAATGCTGCAGGCTAAATCTGACCGTTTATTGCAAATCCTCAAAGGTGCCAAGAACCAAAGTGACAGTCCACGCTCATGAATCAGTGTTCCTGTTAAATAGCCTGCGCAAGTTCCCCCACCGGGCTGCTGTAGTGAAGTCTGCCTCCATTCAGAGGGAGAATCATTTAAATATTGTAGGAAATTGCTCAAAATGCCACAGATGGCTACTTGGGGAATAAAATAATGGAGGTTGCTGCTGCCATGTGTGTAACAGTATATTATTTAGGGGTGGGGGGGGAGGGGGGTGATAGTGCAGTGGGAGTTTTGTCTTTAGAGGCGTGCAGGGGGGGAGTTGCGTGCACGCACGCACACAATGCGTGCTCAACAGATGGGTAGAAACGGGAGACGGAGAGAGGTTGCTCCGAGGCTCCTTTGCGCTCCCGATGCGCGTCCTGGGTTGTCATTCC